AATAATAATATGGTAAGGCTACTAATTAGTTTTGCATATTTCAAGAATATAAAATATAATTTTATTTAAAGATTAATACCCTTGTTTGTGCATTACTTTAAAGATTAATACCCATGTTTGGTTGATGTTTTTATTTGAATTGTAGATTTTTTGAATTAGAATAGTTTTTTGATGTGATATAAATAGTTTTTAATATTATATTTTAAATATAAATTAATTTTTAATATAATATAAAAAATAAATATTAGACGTTTAATTTGATATTTTTAAGAAGAATTTTAATAAATTGTGAGAATTCACCCAAATCACTCGAACAAACACAAACGTAGTTATGACTATTACAAAATTATTATATTAATTTTATTTATTTATAAAAAATATCTAATCTAATATTAATATATATTATATATATATATATATATATTTGACGGTGTATGAGTCATACTCCGCAATAAGATTTTTATAGTAAAATTCTTATAGTAAACAAGGAATTACATTTCCGTATGAATATATATAGTCAAATTCTTATTGTAAAATTTTATGTTGTTGTTTTTTTTTAATTTTAAATTTGATTAAGCGAAAATTAATTATCATATATTTTTATATCAATTATTTTATTTTCATTAATACTAATTTTTAAGAGTAAACTAATTTTTTCCCGTAACTACATTCTTTTATCATTTTACTCTCATAACTGGAACATGTTGCAAACAATCTCGTAAGCGGAAACTTTTTGCAATTTTAGTCCTCTGCTGCTGAAGATGCCTACGTGACATCTGTGTGGCTCATCAGATGATGCGTATCCGCCAAGTCAGCGACACCTGGCAGACACGTAGATTTTCATTTTTTTCTTAATTTTTTTTAAATTTTCAAAAATATTTTTGAAGTTTTTCAATTTTTACAAAAAAAGATAAAATAAATAAATAAATTTTATTTTTATAATTGTTTTTTTTTAAAAAAAAAAATCTACGTGTCCTCTGGCAAGCCACTTGGGTGTTACGTAGGCATCTTCGGCGCCGGAGGACTAAAAGTGCGAAAAATTTTCCACTTACGAGAATAGCTTACGACAGGCTCCAATTATGAGACTAAAATAATAAAAGACTCTAGTTACGGAGCTAAACTATTTTTTTAGCCCTGTAACTAAGCTTCTTTATCATTTTAGTTTCATAAATTGAACTTTTATATAAAATAGTCCCCTAATCGGATTTTTTTGGCACATTTGGTCATTTGTTGCCAAAAATGTTTTGTAGCACATCGGAGGACACGTGTCCCCCACGTAAATGCCACTTGGCGGATGTGTGGAATATTATTTTTTTTGGAAATTATTTTTTACATCTATAACTAATCTCCCTTATTATTTAGTTATGTAACAGAAGCTTGTCTAAAAATAGTTCTGTAAGTAAATTTTGTATGATTGTGTACACAAACACACAATCGTTTTTGTTCTACACGTCCTAATACATGGACGTATCCAACCCCCTAGCACTATTCTATTTTTTTTTAACATGGTCGTATGTATATTCAACATAACGTGTTTCTTATACACGGTCTGGTACATTGCCGTGTCCATCCCCTCACAGTATTATGTTTTAACAATACGGCCACATTGTTATCAACATGGCTTTCTCGTACAAGGCCTGGTAGATGGGCGTGTATAACCCATTGTACACCCCAAGTATTTTGTGTTAACAATATGGTTGTGTTGTTATGAACAAGGCCGTGTTGATCATACATGGCCTGGTACATAGGCGTTTCTATTCCCTCTACATAATTTTATTTATTTTTTTAAATACAACCCTGTTATTTATAAACACGCCCGTGTTTATATAAACACAACTATTGAAACAGTTGTGTTGTAAAATTAAACATGGGCGTGTCTACTTTAACATGCCTATGTTTTTTGGTTTATATGGTAATAATATAATTGAAATCAAATATAGTTATATAATAAATATATAATTTATAATATAAATATACAACTATGAAATTATAATATTATTTTTGTATTGTTGTAAATTTATTTCGAATCATTTGGATTTATCGAACAAACTTCGTATACAAGATACGAATCAATTAATAATAACGGAAGCAAAATTCGAATAAAACTCAAATTAAACTAAAATCGAATCGAAATGAATTAACACATATAAAAGTAAAGGCATAAGTCTGACTATAAAATTGGGAATTTAATCAAAGAAAGAAAACTCCCTTAGTATGCTCTCTCTATTCTTGTCTAATGCCGAAATCTTCCCTTCCTATTCGTGTTCAAAGAGAAAAGAAAGACAAGTCAATCCGCCGACTACGATGATGACGATTCCCACCGATAGACACCTCCGGCGGACAGCTCCTCCTCTGGCGACGACGCGACTTTTGTATTCTCCGGCAAAAATCGACGTACAACTCCAAATCAACGGACGATGACAACGACCAGTGACTCCTTCAGATTCACACCGACGAACAGCGGGACAACGGCAGTGAACTCCGGCAGTCATCTTCTCCAATCTTCATTCCTTTCACCGACGAGAGGGACGGCGAAGTAAGGCTCAGCCCATGGTGCGAGAATGGCCTGAGGTAACCACGTCTCAAAGTGGAGGTCGGCTCTTTACTTCAAGCCTCGAAATCCACCGGAATCGGCACAAGAAAAGGGTCCCGAACCTCACCGGGAACTCACCGGAATCGCTCGACAGTTTCTCTCCCTCTCCTTCACTCTCTAACTCTCGATCTCTCTCTCGGTTCTGGTGTATCTCTCTACACTAAACTGACTCACCCAAAAACCCTTTCAAACTAATCTTTAATAACTTCCCCAAACAAAAAAATCATACACGGTTATAACCAACATAACAACCAAAAAAATTGACTTAGGGTTTGATATATGGGTTTGGGTCGAATCCGATTGGCCGGGCTAAGGAGTGGGTCAACTTATTTATTTATCGAAGGACTTGTCAGCTTAGGCCTCGAACGGCCAAAATTCCCAACATGTATATTACTAATAATTTTCAATATTTATTAATATTACTTCCTCCATCCCAATTCAATGAGGTTTTTGGGATTTTGTAGTAAATTATGAAATATTATTGTTTTATTGATTAATGAAAATATGTAAGAGTTTTTAACATTTTTACCATTTGACTTTATATATAAAATAATTGTATGTGTAATAGTATGTTTACAATTTAAGTAAAAGTTAAGTGTATTTTGGTAATAGTGTATGATTAATTTTTATAAAATATGAAATAGATACTTTAAGTGGTTCGAATAAACATCTTTGTTTCGTTTTGACTTACTGATTGGAATATGGTCTAGTGTTTGAGCATTTTTGGGTTGAAAATATTGTTATTATTCAATTTGTAATCTTCTGGTTTCATTTTCATAAATGTTCCTTGCGGCTTCTTTTCCGATATTATTTTTCTTTTGATTATTTCGCTTTGATTTGATTCTGTGAAATTTGTTATTGTTTTAGTACGACAACTATGTATGTATGTACGTCTGTTGTTTGCGGCTACGTCTGCAGCCGATAGAGAGAGGCTGCGAAGGATGTTGTGGACAGAGCGTTGCTATCAGCCTGGCAAAATCACATTTATTTTATTTTATTTTATTTTTTGAAAAAGCATTGCGGTTTTTTCAGTTTTAATTTGTTTAGATGGATCTTAATTTTCGCGGATTATTGAGGTTAACAGAGTATTAGAATTGCCAACGATCATGTTCGAGAATGCATTGTATGAAGTTAAATTGAACTAGTAATTGACACTGCAAATATTTTTTAATATATTTGCTTCTGTTTTGTTTTTTGATAGTTTTCTTGCACATTGTGTATTCATCCCCAAATATTTATTTGGGGAAGAAATAAATAAATGTATTGATTGATTTAATTGGATATCAATTTCCTTGGGTTTTAAGATCTGAATTTTTGGGTTTTGAGTTTGATGTTGTATGGATCATAGGAAGACTATAAGATTGACTTCTTGTCAATGAATATGTATTATGTCATGTTTCCAAAACATTTAGTTTGAAATTCGATTCTTGTTATTTACTTAGAATATTTTAAAGAATCAACTATGAACTAGCTTTGGTGAAATGTGGTTATTTGGTTATTTTCCTTTTGTAGGAATGTTATGCACATTTCTGTTCTAATAGAATGAATGGGATATTTACCCTTTCATATAGTCCAAAAGTAACTAATTAATGCAAAAGTGGGTTTCTGTCAATTTTTCGGAAAAGTTGATCGCAAGATTGTTAATTCACTAATTAATGTTCTCAAGTTTTATACTAATGCTACAGAGCCACTTTTCTGTCAAAAGATTTGCTTACCATCGTATTTCATTAATGAAAACTATAATTTAGCCATGAAATTATGTGATGTATCATGAAAACTAAAGAATTCATCAAATCTGATTTTTATTATTATGTTTTTCAAGTTTTGAGATTATGTTAATCTTTTCAAAAAAATTTGGTACTAAAATTGCATGTCATCTTATTCGATGAAAGAAAATCTGAGTTAGACTTGAAATTTCGTATAAAGTATCATGAAAAGTACATGTCGCGTAGCTAGCTAATAAGGTCAGATAAAGATCACTCACAAACTTAATTCCAGGGGGATTATAGTTTTGTTTGTTTTAATATATTTTAGTGTCTTATTATTACATATATTGTGACTCAAGATTGCATATTTCGATTGTACGGAAACTGTTGGGACATTATATTACAAGAAGTATATGTGAAAGAATGTAACAGCGTTCGTATCTATTGTTGTTGGTTGACTTTAATTTTATGAATCTTATATTTTCATTACAACTAATGTGCTATGTAGATGTGCACATTTATTAGCCAAATTTAAATATTTTATTAGCCACATTTACAACTTTTGCAGTTTCAAGAAAATGAGAAAGTGATATATAATTTGGATCACTGAAGGCTAACATATAATAGAAGAATAACATAAGAGCAGTAGTTAGAGTTATTAATCTTATTTGACATTACTGAAAATTTCTAGTGCACTAGAATTAGAAAACAGAAGGCTATTACACATCCCAGGGCATTAAGGCAATAACTTTAACATGCTGATGTATAAATACACCAATGCAAAATAAAATTAGCAAGTTATAATTTCAAATACATTTAACCATTTCCCTCTACTATAGTACGCGATACGCCTACATGAAAATTATTTTTACAATTGCAAGTACAACTACTCCAAACACTACAAACTCGAACATCCTAAATCGTTGATTGAATTTCTTCATCTTTGCAATCAATTATTTGTTGTGAACCTTAACTTCATTCAGCACTTGAATGTCGATGGATGGCGAATTAACTTCAGAGTCGTTCATATTGTTAACATGTTCATTCCACTCGCCATAAGTGTTGTTCAAAGGATCCAACCAACGGAAAAACTTGCACGCCACCATTCGACAATTACAAAATAATTTACCTTTTGTCTCTTTCGAAGGTCTGACAACCCGAATTGCTGCTACTACCCCACACTTGCACCGTGGACACTTGTACCGTGGACACTTGTACCTTAGATCCAAATCACCTTTGCCTCCTGACCTAGACTTTGCCATGTTAAACGAGGACATCTGATGTTATTAAACTAGTAATTAAGAAATCAAATTTTCGAAGCATGTTCACAAAAATTATAAATGCCAAGTTAAAAATTCTAATTTTCAAATGATTTCCTGTCTGTTCTATTGAAAATAATCACACCATCTCAAGAACCAAAGTGGATTGTGGAATTTCTTGAAAATTCTAGAACAACTAGCCGATTTTACTATAATAAACTGGTTTGGATTGCAAAAAACAAAACAAAAAATCTAAAAAAAACTGCAGACAATACCAAAAATATATATATATATATGCAAACAATACCAAAAAAAAGGAAAAAACGCAAACAATGGCCAAATCCGGTTAAATGTTAATCCTATTAAATTTTTTGGTGCCCATTAACCTAAAACCCAGAGAACATCGATTCGAAATTACCTCATCAAAACACAGATTCAAAGTTCCATACCAAAAATTTCTTATTGCAAATCGCTATTACCTACCATTTCCACAAAAGTAAATGGACATAAATATAATTTCTGAACAAACCGAACTTACCCTATTGACGAACGAAACGATTTGGGCAATCCAAGAGAAGAATTTCAAACTGGCTTCTAGGATTTCTGTGCGAGTGAATACCAACAAATGAAGTTGAAAAGAAAAAAAAAATATGGTATCAAGGGTATATTTGTAATTTTATATGCCCAACTGTGAATTCACTTTGCACAGCCAGCGCGTGTCATCAACTGCTAACGAAATGGGTGTAGGGCGTAGGGTTTTTGGAACTATAGGGGTATTTGATGCAATTTACAAACTATGGGGTATTTCGCGCAATTATCTGAAACCACAGGTAAATTTCATGCATTTTTGCCTATTTTTTACAAGTAAATCAATACAAAATAACATATGGAATTGGAAAAACACAAACCTCAACAACACCCAATATCCTCAGTATAATTGACAACGCGGGGTTAATTGACAAATTTAGTCATACTTGCCTATAATATTACAACTTCGTACAACTGCTCAAAATAACAAATATTACACTATTAAGGGCATTTACGTAATAACAGGTAGTCATCCGTACAACTTCTCATATATATGTGTTTAACGATATATATCAGAACCGTGCGGGCTACGCCTCCTTAAATCAAGTTGGTAAGTAAGTGTTTAAGTAATATTTTGAATGTAAAAATATTTTTCTATTCAAACAAAAAATAGGAGAAATATATATATATTTGTGCTAATTGTGATAATGAATAAGGAACGGTAATATTTAGCTCCATACATGAATATGAATATTTTTATAGCTTGAGTAAATTGATGATTCTAAAAAATACCTTTAGATATATTTTGGGTGATTGAAGATGTTTTGACAGAATTGATTGTTAATTTTTATTATCTACACAAAACTTGCTCTAATTGTATGAACTGACTATGTTGTTTAAGTGCAAGTAGGTGGAGTCGCAAATTTGAGTGCTTCAATTCAAATGATTTGTGTGCGCCAAAGAGAAACAAATATCTTCAATAAGGCACATGCAAGAAATAGGAAGACATTAATTGGTTATATCCGATATGTGAAATTGTGAAAATTACATGTTAGCATATTTTTTATATATTGTTATTTGGGGCCCACATAAGCCTATATATATGACTCTCTTTCTAGGTTAAAACATAATTTCCATTTTCCGCAAATATTCAAATATGGTATCAGAGCCTATTTTTCTTCTGGGATAGACATAGCTACTAATCCTCATTGCTTTCGCCGCCAACACCAGCACATGGCAGCCGCAGTCTGCTTTTCTGCACGATTCTTTTGCGCGCTCTATACTATTCTTGATTTTCTCACTTTATAGTATGGCTCTTAATATGGATCGTGTAGACGCTTTCAGGATTACTATTATTCTTTCTAGTGATAATTATGATTTGTGGGTTGAATCCATAAAGAGTTTTTTGATTGGTAAAAGATTATGGCGTTATGTTACTGGCGATTTTTCTGCACCGGTTGCTCCTGTTGTCACTTCTACGGTGCCCCTCAACAATAAAGATCTCACAGACTATCGGACTGCCTTGAATGAGTGGGATAGTAAGAACCACATTATTCTTACTTGGATTCGGAATACCTCTTCCAAGTCCATTCAGATTCAACTTCGCCGCATGGACACTGCCAAGAAAGCTTGGGATTATTTGTAGCATCGATATCAGGCCACTGGAGGCATGCATTATTATCAGATTATAGGGTCATTGAATGCACTGACACATGACTCACGCCAAGATATGAATGAGTTTCTCTGTACTATACAGTCTATGTGGGATCCCATTGATGAGGCCAACATACAGATTGAGCACTTTCGGTTGATTCAGCTCTTGATGAACCTTGGTCCAGAATATGAGTCTGTGCGTGCTTCCTTGCTTCATCGTCATCCATTGCCTTCCTTGGAGACAGCGATGAAGGAGATTTTGTTTGAGGACACCCGCCTCAAGATGCTCAAGGCTTCTACTCTTGATTTGGCCTTGGCAGTTCCCTCTTCTACTCCTTATCACTGAGATAATCGCAAGGATGCCCAACCACCGCAGTCTGATTGTCGTAGTTGCCCGAATGTTGATCATCTTTATATCTATTGCCCTAAGGTTGAGTGTCACTACTGTCATCAGAAAGGCCACATCCATCCGCATTGTCCCAAGAATCCCCGAGGCTGGTCAGTCCTCTTCCGGCTCTTCCTCTGTCATTGTTGCTGCCACTAGCGTATCACAGTCGCCTCAACCGCCTCCCACTATTGAGGACCTATTTCACATGCTCACTCAGGTTTTATCAATTCATCCTTCATTAGCCTCGACATCAGGTAATAACACATGGTATATTAATTCTGCCTGTTGTAACCACATGACACCTGACCATTGCCTTTTACATTCCTCCCAACCCGTCACCTTCTCCCCTCCAATAGTTACCGCTGATGGCACCTCTATGCGCATTACCCATACTGGCCATATATCGTCTCCCCACCTCGATGATGTTTATGTTATTCCCAAATTAGTCCTAAACCTTGCGTCCGTCGGTCAGTTTGTTGAGCAGGATTTTACTGTAATTTTTTTTTCTTCTGGTGTGCAGGTTCAAGATACAACACAGACGGATCAGATACTTGGGACGGGTCGCAAGACAGGCCGCCTATTTGAGCTTAACCACCTTTGTCCTCACCAGACATGCACCGTCTATTTCCGTTGCAGTCTCTTCTTCGTCTTCCTATTACTAGCACCTCAGACTTGGTCATGTCTCCCTATCTAAACTCAAGTCTCTTGGAAATACAGGTATTTTAGGCACAGTTTGTTTAGAGTCTTTTGATTGTTTGCATTGTAAACTTGGAAAACAACCAGCTTTACCTCTTTTGAATAGCTTGTCTATTGTTGATAAACCTTTTTCGTTAGTACATTCTGACATTTGGGGGCCCTCTCTTGTTGCTACTCTTACTGGATTTCGTTACTTTGTGCTTTTTATTGATGATTACTCTCGCTTTACTTGGATTTACTTTATGCGTAAGCGGTCGAACTTGCTTCCATATTTTCTATATATTGTTATTTGAGGCCCACATATATATGCCTATATATATGCACTCTCTTGTTAGGTTAAAACATAATTTCTATTTTCCTCAAATATTCAAACATTACATAATAATAATAATAATAATAATAATAATAATAATAATAATAAAGTATATTTTTATTTACTTCTAATTGGAAAGATTAATTTCCTTCCGATTTCGCAAAACCAAAAGACCGAAACAATTAAATCCAAAAACAGTGGGAAAGATTCCCTTAAAATGGAGAGCAACGCTGAGTGTTTCATGGTATATGGCAACTATCTTTTATATCAATAAATTCGCTTGTACTAATTAGATCAAATCATTATGGTACTTATTTCACCAAATTAGCAAATGTCTATAAAGAAAATTACAAATACTAATATAGAATATAACACATTTTTTAATAGCTCATTATATAGTTATATATAGAAAAATAAATTTTGATTTTAGCAAAATATATTTCAATTTCATCACAATAGTAATTGATCCAATTATAAAATGTTCATAAAGAAAATAGCAAATCATCATCAATTATATAACACAATATATATTGTCTTATGATGATTTGTTAATTATTTTAAGTTAATGTACTATATATTGTATAATGATTTGCTAATTTCTTTGCGTTACATTGTTGTGGACCAAATCAGCGCCCTAACCACCGCCCTATAAAATATATTTACATATATAAATCTTTTCAGATTTCTTGTTGTATTAAGTATTCTTGTAACATTCTACATTAGGATGGTGTATAACGTTCGGACAGAAAATGCTGGATCAAAACCTGATACAAAGTTTGAAAACAAGACTTAGGTAGAAACATTGATTTTTGCAAATATATATAGATGGTGAAAATACATCGAATTCTAAGCTGGTAAGCCTACAATTTGTAGTGAGTTAAAGATTGAGGATTAGATGAAACTCTCAGATAAATCCAAGCAATTTTAATCATCTTCTTCAACTATGAAATTAGGGTGTGTTTCTTTAGGGGGATTCCGCGAAATTTGGGGTTGAGTTTGGTTTTTATTTGAATTTTGGGATGAGTTTGAATTTTATTGTTTATTTTGTGTTTGGGTTTGATTGGAGTTTGGGGAATTTTGATGTTTATTGATTTGATAGATAATGAATAAAATAATATAAACGTGTATTAAATTTGATTGATAAAATTTATATTGTATGATTTGATTATGAATTTATATTATACCCAATATATATATTTAAATTTTTATTTATTTGTATTATAGAAAATTTTATTTTCTACAAAATAATATATATTGTATATATTTTTTTCCCTATAATTATAATCAATATTTAATTATATTTTAATTTTTTAAAAAAATATATAAAAATAAATAAAATAAAATCTACAACTTGTCGGCCAAACCGTGGACAATCCCAAATTTGGGTTTGAAGAAACAGACCCTTATGTACAGACCCATAACAATTCAGTTGACATATATAGGATTCATATTAAATCAATTTATCTATATTTAGGTAACCTATGTTAGAAAGAAAACTTTTTTGTAAATGGGAAACAGTGGAGTATAATCTCCCACTTTGTTATCTTGATGATCAAAACCAACATTATTTTTCGAACTCCCAACATTCATCTACATAAAAAAGTTATTATATATATATATATCTATTATATCAGTTCACTGATTTCTAAAATGGTTTAATTCTGTTTAAAAGATTGGAGTAACCTTTGCTGATATTGGTGTTCTGGATGAGCTTATAGAAATATCATATGACACACCTTAGCAGTTACAAGATAAACATTAACATCTCTTCTCTTGAATCTAGTTTGTCATTTTGATTGTTGAGGACTCCCGTTTGCGGGATATGTAACTAATGGCTTAGTTTCCCTAATAAGTTCGAGCTTTTAGGTGAGACGGTCATTAGTTTCCGACATGGTATCAGAGTCTAGGCTAGGTCTCGAGTTCGAGTCCCGCCCGTCCCCATTTGTGGGCGAGTCCGAGGGGGTGCCAAGGGGGGCGAAGTCCCTCTTTCCTGGGGTCCAGGAGCGCCGAGTGGTCCCCGACCCGACAGTATGTAGTATTGGACTTTGGAGCTGATATTGGACTGAACTCGTCTGATGTATTCTTTTACTTTATTTGAATATATTTAGAGACATGAAATCTGTAATTTGTAAGACAATCGTCCTCAGAAAATTTGTTTTTCGATTTTGCAGATGTTGGTGAACTATGTAAATTTGTGTCACGTTTCTTTGTTATTCGATCAATAATTCTAATCCGTCGCAAACACAAGTAATCATGCTTCAACAAAAATAGTCTCAGTAAAAGCAATCTGGTGAAGGAAAACCAACCAGACAAAAATAGTTAATCAGTTAGTTTGTTACATATATATTTGGAAAATAAAATAAACAGCTATCGAGTTTGTTGAATTAATTCTCTATCTGGCACTAAATTTAATTACGTGAGCAACTAATTTAGCAGTTGCGTGCCTCCATCATAATACAATATGACCTCTATAAATAACAGACTAAAAACCCTAATTCTCTGCAACCCTAACTTAAACATCTCAACTCCAGTCCCCCCGCCCCACCCCACCCACCCAAATTCTCTCGAAATATAATATTCTCTCTGAACATGAAGAAGGTCGGAAACAGGTGGTCGTTGGCGTTGGTGGCATTGATAATTGCTTGTGTTGCAGTTTCAGTTTCAGTTTCAGTTGCAGAAGGGAATGGGGCTGGATGCGACCCGGTGGCGCTGTCGCCGTGCCTGCCGGCGATAACGGGATCGGATTCTCCGACGGAGGAGTGCTGCCGGCTGCTGAGGTCGCAGGAGCCGTGCTTCTGCAGCTACCTAAGCAACCCGGCTTTCAAACCCTACATCGACTCCCCCAACGCCAGGGCTGTCGCCACCAAGTGTGGCGTCCAGATTCCCACCAAATGTTGAGTTGATGCTTGCTCAACTAACTTCATTCATCTGTCTGTCTTCTCTTAATTGCTGTTTAATAATCATTTTGAATTGAGATTCTTCTCTGGTTAGATCGTTTGATCGATCGAGTGCACTTAAGCTTAATTTCAATGACCATGGATTATTGATTGAATAATGTCTTCGTACCGATCGATCCATCATGCAAATTAGTCATTAACTTCAGACCCATTATATTATACATATATATATATAGGGGCGGAACTAGACCGGGATGAGAAGGGGGACTAATTTTTCAAATTTTGAAACGAACATAGTCGTTATCCAATAATTTTATCAATTGAGTTATCATATTTCGAAAATTTTACAAAATATCAATATACAGTAACAGCTATATATTACAAAATTAATTTTCTATTATATAAAATTGATAAATAGTAAAAAAATTTATTTAAAAAAAAAAAGCTCTTAGAAATATCATCTCCTATATATTTGGTTAAGAATTTTTTTTGAATGTATTTATTATTATTATTTTTTACCTTTTATTTCATATTTATTTCTATAGCGTCGAATAATTATCATGATATAATTTTTTTATTATTTAAAATTTAAAATCAAATTTTAAATTTTTGCATAAAAATTCATAAATTTTTAGCAATTCTTTAATTTGTTTTTATTGTTTTTTTATATTATATACTATAAAAAAAAATCAAAAAATTAAAAATAAAAAAAGAGGGGGGGTGGAGGGAGGGGCCTGGAGCCCCCCCCGCCCCCAAATACATCCACCGTGTATTTACACCAACAATGAATGCACAACGACTAATCATACGATAGTTATTCGTAACTGTTACAATTATTACAAGCTACAGTTTTAAATACATTTATTATGACAATATTATAACTGCTCGAAATTTAGTATCGCATTATTATTATTATTATTATTATTATTATTATTATTATTATTATTATTATTATTATAAGTTAAGTGATTAATGTTGTAACTAAGCTAGCAAACCACATGGGAGGAACTTGGAAATTCATTGGAGATGTTATCTAGTTATGAACATGTCAGAGCAATCTATTGAGTGTTGGCCAAAACTAAGGATATTGAATATCATTTGATGATCGAAGTTGCAAAATTATTGATAAGAGAAGCAATAGCATCATTGCCTTTGTCTATTCTGACGAATCACAGTAGAGTGTTTCCAATAGTTATATAAGTTGGTATACTACAAAAAAATATCAATTTTGTAACAAGATTTTTTTGTTGTTAAATTCACTTTTTCCATTACTAATGATATTAGAGACGGAATTTGAGATGGAATTACGTTAGCTACGTGAACTTTAGGAACGAAATTTCGTTACAAATATACCATTTTTTTGTAGTGGTATAAAAGCTCATGTTTTGTTACAATAATATATTCATTAAATTTGTAATGAGAAAATTCTAATTTGAACTTAAACAGTTTTTTTTAAAAAAATAATAATAAATATTGATTTGATATTTTAAATATAAAATTATGATGTATTAAGGTTTCGATTAGTTTCTTCTTTAAAAAATAAACAAAATATATTTGTATATTGAGTTTAAGTGTTTATGAAGTAAAATAATTTTTAAAAATAATATATATTGTTTAAATTTTCCATAGTTAAAATGATAAACTACATGGAACAAGCTTATATAAGCACATATTCTCATATTAAAGAAAATTAATTTGTTTCCGATAAATAAAAAAAAAAATAGTTAATTTGTTAATAATAGTTGATCATGTACAATGTAAACAAAGAATGCCGATTTTTCGAAATTATTTGTGCAATGAACACGGATACTACTACAATAATTTAATTAAATACATCAAACATTTACATACAAGACGATGTTTCTTTTAAAAAATATTTTAAATTACTCCCCGTTCTAGCTCTATGTACTATTTTGGTCCAGTGCGATTCAAATGTATACCATTTTATTATAGAAAAAGCGATATTCATTAATATAAAAAACACCCTTAATTTTTAAATTAAATATATATTAATATACTAATACACATTATTACTTATACATGAAAATCTTATTAAACGCTTTCATTGTCTATTTTTGTATTATTTCTAATCTATGGCAAAAAAGAAAAAGAATAAGTAGAGCTGGACGACGGAGGGATTATTATATTGGTAAGTATCTCCAGAAATTTCAGCGGCAACAGAAAAGCACTAAAGATGATCAACTTCTCTCTGGTGGATTTCGCAAAGCTTGAGGAGATTTAGATAGAAGTTAAGCTTCGTCTATCGCCAATGTTTAACTTCTCTAATAATGTATGAATAATCTCCTCGTCTTCTTTAATGAAAACTTTTCTCACGTTTTGGTAGAGAGTACTAGAAAGAACCACTTCTCTCGTCATTTCAATCCTCTCATTTGAGTTTAGAATCGCGGTGACGATAGAAGGGACTTTAAGCAAAAATTTGGCGAGCCAAAGCAGTTGGCCTTTTGTCATCATCGCAGACGATAGAAAAGAACTTTTTGTATCTTAAAATCAGAATGCTCCTTGTCTCGAGCCATTTCTTTCGAACTTGAAGCTCCTGTGTTTGATTATATGTCATGTAAGGAATATTTGTTAAATATTGATATTAAAGAAACTTATGAACCAGTAGATGATGAAAAACTATGTGTATAATTATTTCAGAGAAGAAGGAATACTCACGTTAACTCGTTGGCTACCAGCATTACATTCAAATTAAATAGGAAACAGACTTAACAGAATGCTCCTACAAACTTGACACTAATTAAACTATAATGCCACTTATTTAAAAACTACTAAAAATAGAAAATTGCTCCACGAAAACTTGCTCCAAACTCCTGAAGACCTGTTCCACACCAGGACTAATTCCAACAAACTCCCCCTTAGTCCTGGTGTGGTCCAGCATTACGCACACCAAGTAGATGTCGCATTGTCGTCAGTTTTGTTGTCGGTAACGCCTTTGTCAAGGGGTCGGCTCTCTGCTCATCTATGCGAACAAACTGGACAAAAATTTTCCCTTCCTCGATACATTCACGTATGAAATAGAACTTAGTGTTGATGTGCTTGTTGCGGCCATGGAAAATTGGGTTCTTCATCCGCGCAATCGCAGATTTTGTTATCAACATATAGTGTCACTGCTTCTTGTTTCTTACCCAGTAGTTCAGTCATAAGGCCGTTTAACCAGATTGCTTGACAAGCTGCCCATGTTGCTGCCATAAATTCGGCTTCGCAGGATGAAAAAGCTATTGTCTTCTGTTTCTGCGAATTCCAAGAAATAAGACAATCATTGAAATAAAATGCCATACCACATGTGCTCTTTCTATCATCCATATCACCAACTAGATCACTATCTGTGAAGTCGATAATTGACTCATCGCCGCCTCCTCTGTTGTACAGAAGTCCATAGTGTATCGTCCCTTTCAAATACCGAAGTATTTGTTTCAGAGCTTTATGATGCATCAGTGTGCCTCTTCATGAACCTGCTTGCTACGCCAACCGCAAAAGAGAGGTCCGGTCTTATATACAGAAGGTAGCGAAGACATCCTATGATGCGGCAATACTCCGTTGCATCAACCGGACATCCTTCGACATCTTTGTGCAACAGTGTTCTTGGCTCCATTGGAATTTTTGTTGAATTGCAGTCAAGCATACCAAACTATGACAACAGTTTCATGGCATAAAATGTTTGTTTGATGGAAATTCCTCCTCCGTATTGTCCCACTTCAATACCAAGGTAGTAGGTGAGTAAACCGAGATCACTCATCTCGAATTCACCCATCATCTGTTGTTTGAACTTAGTAATAGCTTCTGGATTCTGTCATGACAGAATTAAATCGTCAACATAAACACCAACAATTACCCTCGCATTTTCAATGCCCCGAGTGTACACTGTCTGCTCTTGTGCACACTTCACAAAGCTAAGTTGTTTTAGGCTTTTGTCTAACCGGGTGTTCCATGCCCGTGGTGTTTTTCGGAGTCCGTAAAGCGCCTTATGCAACTTGAGCACTAAATGCTCTTTATTTTTAACGACAAACCCCTCCGGCTGAACTACATACACCTCCTCCTCCAATTTGCCATTGAGGAATGCGGATTTGACATCTAGGTGATGGACCTGCCAGCCACGGTTGGCGCAATTGCAAGAATAACGCGCACAATATCAAGTTTAGCAACTGGTGCGAATACTTCATCAAAATCAATCCCTTACTGCTGGACATAGCCCTTTGCGACCAACCGGGCTTTTTTTTTGATAATCTCTCCATTATAATTCTTATTCAATTTAAACATCCATTTGAGTCCTATTGCCTTGTGACCAGCAGGTAGTGATGTGAGAGACCAGGTTGCATTTTTTTCAATGGACTCCATCTCTTTGGCCATGGCTTCTTCCCAGGCTGGTTGTCCAACCGCCTCATCATAACAGAATAGCTCCTCCATCTCTGAGAGGATGGCCACCTCCACGTCGTCCTCCACTTCCAGTTCCACGCGCCGCGTATCTCTCATAATATCTTCAATATGTCTGTACCGGAGAAGCCTGTTGTCACTGCTACTACTCTCAGATAGCGGTGTTTGAGTGTTGCTGAACACCGGTGTTGATGGAGTATTTGGGCAGGGAGATTCCGCAGGTGTTGGCTCGCTTGCCGGGTCGACTTCAGATGGCACCAAAGCTTCTACTATTCGTCCAGTGTTAGTCATCTCCTCAGCAATTAACTTAGGTGAGTCATCATTTTCTGCAACACCGTCCCACTTCCATTTCATATTTTCCTCAAATATGACATCACGGCTTACATGAATTTTGCCACGACGTGGTTCGAACAGCCGATGTGCCTTGCTACCTTCCTCGACACCAAGGTATATGAACGATTGACTTCGGTCGTCCAATTTCTTCAAATGAGGTGTCATCACTTTGGCGTGCGCAGTGCATCCAAACACATGAAGATGAGTTACGTTCGTCTTTCTCCCATTCCATGCCTCAAATGGAATACATGTGCCCATACCCTTGGTCGGTAAGCGTTTGAGTAGATAAACTGCATGCCTCACTGCCTCACCCCAAAATTTTTCTGGCATGTTCATGCCCTTGAGGAGAGATCTAGCCATTTCCGTCACAGTCATGTTGCGCCGCTCAACTACACCGTTTTGCTGAGGCAAATATAGCGCGGTCAAATAGCGC